AATAATAATAATAATAATAATAATAATAATAATAATAATAATAATAATAATAATAGTAAAGAGACCTATCTTACATGTACCAGAACGCCTTTCATGGTGCACGCACTAAACACAACTGGATACGTGACTTTCAATTCCGTTGACTAAGTACGAACTTATCGGTTCCACACTTTGTCACCGGTAATCCTTCTCGAAACTTCCTGGATGGCCAGAAAAAACTTTTTATCGCAGAACAAAGGTGAGCAAGTGGAAATGGCTTATCTTCAAGGCCACGCCTGAAACACTGCACAGTCGACATTTATGATCGACTGGACACGACGACCTTGCAAAACAATTACTGGTGGAACTGAAATATACATTTTGTGTAACTACCTAAAACCCAGTGATTATATTGCACAAAAAAAAGTAGAAAAAATAACCAAAAGTACGATATGCGTCCCCTAAGAGAAATTGAAAACCCAAATAGTTTCATGTCGTTCTGTACTTATTCTCCAAAAAATATAAACTAAAAAACAGGGAGAGATGGATCAGTGCACCAACAGATGTCACACCAGTCCCTCTGACCGGGAGGTTCTAGGTTCGAATCCCGTCGGTGGAAGGATTACGGGAGTCAAGGTGGTTAAGGGGGTAAGGAGTTAAGGGAGTCGATAGAAGGTTAAATTATTTACTACGAAATTTCCTCATACTCATTGTGCAAGATCGGATCAATTTGTAGATTTTAAAACCTTTAACCTGTAATTCAGAAATTAAAATATTTGATTTTAGAGTCTTTTCCTATGATAAAAACAATATTTTGATTTTACTGATACATTATTGCTTGTTATTTCCTTTGATTCGAAGCTCGATATTCACTTCATGACCTACCTGAATGAAGAGGCGCGTGGCTACGAAGGAAATTCGAAACAGTTGAATGATGCTACATGTTTTTTATGGGGAAATCATGGAAAGGAATTGCAGGAAGGAAATATGAAAACACAAACCGAGTCATGATAACATGTACTTAGTTTAGTAAATAAGTCGAACTGAATCGTTAAAATTCGGTAAACAAAAATATAATATTAGTCAGCTGAGTAAACTGATTCTAATGTTCTCAGGCTACAAAAAGCCCAAGAGTCTTGTTCTGAGAGCTTCTTGTCGCTCGAGGTCATTAGAAACCTTATAACACTTATGGTGTATACATAACTATTTTCTAACCGCTTTTTAATTTGGACGGCATTGAACAAGAACTTTGCATCTTCTTCTTCCTGAAGTATATCGTCAGAAATGAAAGTATTTTAATTTCGAACGCATTTTCGATATTACGACATATAAATACTATTTCATAATAATTTCATCAGCATTATACGAGCGTC